AGAACTCATCACAGTTAACCAACTGGGAACATCTAACGGACCGGTAAGTTTCTACCGACGATTCATTCGGAGTTACGTATCTTTCTGGAACATTAACAGACCAAATCTGTTAAGATGCAAACATCATCTGCTTGGAAACACTTTTGCTTGTACCCACTCTAACTAATATATTTCTGTAATAGCGTCCCTTGCGTTTTACGGTCTTCAAAGCAGCAATAGTATCTTGATACAACGAAGGGATAAACCAAGTTAGGTGCTGACCGTGAGGTGTGACTCGGAAGTCAGCTGTTGGTCACACCGTTTCCGTCCAAGTCAAGATCGCCGAAATTGATAATCTACAACCTTCTCTCTGATTTGAATTCTGGTCCACTTGTGACTAATAAAATACAAACCGTGAATGCTCGGGAATTGCTGGTTGGTGTATCAACTAGACTAGTAGCACGTGTCACACTTTGTTCGTGAAAAATACATCATGTCGATTTGTCTATTGCTTAACATGAAAAGTTGATAGATTCTCCATTACAATACGCTCGTGTTTGGATTATCTCATTCTGGTAGAAATTATTTCACTGCAATAACATTTGAGCACAAATACTTTGTTCTTTCACTGATATTAAGAAAAGTCGAGAATGCCAAAATAATAATTTATTCGATTGTTTGGGTAAATATTAGGTTGAGAAATTATGCGCAGAATAATGGTGCGAAATAAGTTTCATTACATATTCCTCCATTACATCTTAAGCCCCTACAACACGGATTTTTCACTCCACATGGTTCACCAAAGTGTCGCCCGTGACATTGCCAACGGTCACATTTGTACTCATCTTCGCAATCGTCATCTTTCCAGCAATATTCACACACTGTCCTACATTTATCTGAAAGCAAGCAACCAAAATATCACATCAATATGTGATCAAGAGCATTTCTGTTGAGCTAAACAACAACCATTAAGTGAAAGCATGTTCTTTAATTACTAAGAAATAAACAAGTATGAATCACGCAGTCAAAATGCTGTAAGGCGATTTGAGATTACTTACCTGGCGGGAAAGAATATTTTTTACACTCTCTTTCAAGTGATTTGGTGGAGATAGCTAGAAGTAGAATGGCCGAGCACAAACACAGTATATTCATGCTACTTTGTGTTCCACTATTTTATGTCTCGGACCTTTTGTTTATATACTATTGAACAGACGACAAACCATTTATGAGAGTCACGTTCGTCAACTACTTGTCATCACATGGTTTTCCGGTAATCTGATAAAGTGTATATGCCTCGTGTTTCCAACCATGTACGAAGTCAATACACATTTAATGAGATTAGTCAGTTTTGAAGATTAAGAAGAATTTCACAACTTAAAAAAAATCATAAGTAAAGACTTTAGTAGAATAGCATGAACTAGCCTTGTTAAATTAGGTGGTCGTCAGTTATTAACAACAAATGATATTTCAAAGAACAGAAGTGGCCCATTGAGCCACTGAAGACGAATGAAGGATGATTAACTAGAGAGATATTTCTTTTGAACTCTGTCATTTAATTAGGCTGCATAGTTTTCAAAATGAAATCACAGGTGGAGTTGAACGTCAACACTAACATGAATCAACATGAATACGCTTCAGAGTGTTAGGGCAATGAAGAAACTATCACTTGCATTAATTTCATTTTTCGTTATTATGACCAAAAGCTATACCATTATGGTGACATAATAACATCTTGACTCTAAAGAGATGGCGCTAAAAGTTTCGTTTCTGAAATGCTCCAGTTGCATTGTTAACATTTACAGTTCATTCTTATAGATGATCTTATTATTGGCCAGTTAGGAGTGTTATTTGAATGTTGACGAACCCACGATTTCTGTATTACCGTAAACTCCGTGTGGTTATGTTTAGTCTTTCATATGAACTATAGTGGCGTGTTTCATTTTGTCTGCTCTGTATATTAGACATGATCATCAAACATTTTCATTGTTTTATGAAAAATATATATACTCAAGTAAAGTTAGTGCTTGACTAGCTGTTTTTGATGCCACCGGCTTCTGTTATCCATAAAGATATAGCTCTCCATATAAATTAAGTTAAATTAATTCCTATTTCAAACGTTTTAAAATCACAGGTAGAACCAATTAATTTCCAATTTTATTTTTAAGTGTATGCTGTCACTAGGGTCATTTCTTATGTACTAAACCTTTTGTGTGGTATTTAGATGTTAACATCATTGAAGAACCGCCTACATTTCAAATCGACATATTAATATAAAACATGTAGTCTAAAAGACGAATGCTCTGTTGTGTGTAAAACCTGACAACTGCGTATTTCGTCATTGTAATGTTTATCCACGTTCTCGCAAATATTAGAAAGTATATTTAATCGCTGTTGACGAAGAACAAAATGCTCCTCACACTCAGAGAGTTGCTTTGATGTTAACGAAAAAGCGCGAAATGCACTTGTTGAATGGGAATCGCATGGATTCAGGATTATCAAAGCATCCTTTTCAAAAGAGAAAGAGTGAATCACAAGCAATGTTATCCAATGTTGTGTACCCACCAATGATGTAAATGACGACGATAGAGATCAGTTTTACGAGAGGCTGCAATCGATCATGGCGAAGTGCTTAAAAAACGACATGACATTTTTAACTGTAGGCTTAAACGTCAAAGTCGGAATGAACAACATCTGATATATCATGCAACGACATGCACAGAATGGCAGAAAATAACGAGAATGGTGAGAGATTTGCGAATTGATGTGCGTTCATGTGGTGTTTGTATGAACCAATTATTCTTTTGTACTTGATGACTGCCTGATTCCGAATTCCAAATACAATAGGTTTGTTCGTGCTCATTTAGTGCTTTTTGATGAAATCGCGTTGATTTTGTAATTCCTGTAATTCAAGGACTTCAAACCATCACACTAGTGTCGCGATAGAGTCTGTGATTGAACGGTTGGATATACATTGAGAATTTGCGAAACAGGTCATGAAGACAAGCACAAGTTTGATAAATGCCTGTTCTGTGGCACGTTTCGCTCATGTAATTCATTTGTTTGTTGTTATTCTAAATTCATCAAATTTAGTCAGTCTGTAATACTGTGGTTCATTTCGCTGCAACCAATGCTAAAATTTGTAATTCCGATCCTATTAAGTTGGGTGTTTCTAATGATCATAAATCTCTATCCACGACTTCGAAAAGCGGTATAGAGTCACATGATAGTGCAGAGTTCAGTGAAACTCAGAATCATTGTGAGACAAAAGTTTCTAACCAATCAACTTCTTATCGGATTTCTCATGTTATTTTACCAGATTTGGTTTGCCTAATGATTCACATATTTCTGATGAAATTCCTTACATTTCCTTACCATAGTAAGTACTGTCATTGAATAAGATGACACTGATTCCCAAGTAACAACTGCCCTCATGCCTGTAACAGCACTAGACATTCTCTTGTCCACCATCAAGTTTCTTCGTCGGTTGAGATTTTTTCAACTCAACCACTAACCCTTCACACATTACTTCATCCCATGCCATAAGATGTTACTCCTGGTCTCTTGACAACACTCAACTTTCGGACCGTATGTCAAACAAGCCAGAAGACTTACGTAGCTAGTATAGGATTGTGGTATTCAGCACCGTCAATGTGTGCCGTATATCAAGGTGTGATCATTCAACTGACCTCGGACAATCAATACGGAGAACCGGAGAGAGTGTGAAATGTTTTGTACAGAGTATATGACTAAAATACAACACACCACACATCCGAATTATTACATTCACGAAATACTCGCTGAACCACGAAATAGTCACAGGATGATGAAAGCATTCATCTAAAGGTTAGAAGAATAGAAATTAAGCATCGTTTATTAAGACTATCAATGCACTGAGAAGGATCTCATTCAATCAGCATTCAGTAGACGGTTTGCCAGTAGTATCTAGAAAGTGAAATGTGACATGTCGATTTTCTGATTGGATGATTACACATACTGTTGCTAGATGTTGTGGACGTTAGACGACTCTCTGTGTTCGATCATTGCTGTCTCCGAAGGATTGCTGACATTCAGTGGCAACACCATGTCAGTAATGCAGAGGTTCGGCATCGTGTGTTTGGGCACAGAGATGATAATTCAATTGGTGTCACCATCTTGAAACACCGACTTCGGTGGCTTGGACATGTTCTACGAATGTCGTCCCAGAGAATTCCACGTCGTGCATTATTTGCCGACTCTGGGACTGGTTGGAAAAAGCGGAGAGGTGGTCAGTGCATGACATGGTGTCGTGGTATAAAAGAAAGCTGCAAAGGACTGGCTTGTGTTGGTCCTTCACGACTCCCTGGTTGGGGTCTGAGAGATGGTGCTACACAGTGGCTAGAGACGTTATCAGATATGGCTCAGAATAGAAGCCAGTGGTGATCCTGCTGTAACCTTTTTTTACTTTCTTCATAAAAAGTGGTTGTGTCTCCCTTAACTGAAAGATTTTTTCTGATTGTACCTTTCCGTTCCCTAATTATTACTATTATTATTACTTCACTACCTTACACCAGCCTCTTCGTTATCGTTCTCTTTTTCTTTTGTGCTCCTTAGTTTTTTTTGTTTTCTATCTCTCTTCGAATTTTCATTGTTTTGTGTGGCGCATATATATTGGCGCTCTCTTGTACCAATATTTATGTGTTCAAATAATAATTTGTCTAGTCCTTATTAGTGGAAATCGAATGCTATCGATCATGTTGCAATGTGGTTGCCAGTCTAGGTGACTCGACACTTCGGGCACTATATATTGGAGTTAGATGGTGGTTGAAGGTAGTCAACAGGAAACCCTGGACCCGGGTTTCCTGTTGACTACACCTCCAACCACCATCTAAACATTATTCATAATTAAAACCTATGTTAATATAATTTTGGTGCGCCAATTATAAATAACGTGGGACTTAACACCAAAGTTACTGTACACCATAACAGCAAATAATATAGAATATGGAAAATTCAATTCATTACTTTTTGCATAGCTTAAAAATCTAACTTTTCTTAATTACTGAAAATAAAGTGGGGACACTTACGCACCAATCTCCATAAGATGAGTACTTTTTAATTGTTCGGTCCCGAATAATCGATCTTTCGATTTTTTCTTCACTGTCTAACGAAGCGCGCCATTCTGATAGCAGTTTCTTTAGCTTATTACTGATATCCACTTTTGTGCGTTCATCGACGCTAATCCATTTAGATTCATATGTGTTTTTATCGAGAGAACATGTAAGACACTTTTGTCCAGTTGTAAGCGCTTCTTCATAGTTCCCTAATAAAGCATGAACCTAAAAGCAAACAAGTATTAAGAAATAGGATTAAGTCAGAAACAATTATATTACTAATGTAATTTGAAATTTATATCAGTAATGATTTCACACGTAGAAATGTCTTGTCTACTTTGTGTTAATTATAATTTCGTTGTGATTAGAAATCCGATGACGGCTTACTGATCGTAGCATATGTGATGGAATTTCTCAGGAGACAAACCATCATACTCCTTATCCCGGATTCTAACCACTTGGTTTTCAACATAAAAGACAGATGAATTTTCTTATATACAAATGACTAATATGATTGATCTAAAAAGAACAAAAGCCGGATATGCAGAACCAAAAGTGTTGATTCCTTCAAACGATAGCACATAAAAGATGTGCAAGCGACACCTGCAATAATGATTTTACATGCATTTTATAATCAATACTGCATTAAGCATACACATATTCGACAGACTAACTTTGGCTATACGGAACCAAGCCTTTATATAGTTTGGTTCAAGGCTGACTGCTCGCTCACAGCATTTGATACATGCAGAAAGGTAATCGAATTGAGACTTCTTTGGATTGACAGTGCATGTTGTCCCAAATTTATACAGGCAGTGGGCTGCGTTCGACAGGCAAATAGCTAATAACTGACGTGGGCTAGGTTTCGACAGCTGATAATCTGGCATCGTTCGATCGGTATAGTTACAGTCAGTCACACTGATGCTTCCCTCTAGGATTCTAATAGCTTTTTTGTAGCAATTGAATGCACGAACCAACAATCCAGTCTGAAATGTAGAAAATCAATTGGTATTGAAACGTTGTCTTTAAACTTACAGCTCGATAATCTACGAAAACATATCCGACATTTTACTCAGGAACAACAACACTTATGATAACAGTTACAGCCTTCTTGTAATTTCAGTGTTATTCTTACATCTTGAAGTCAATGAGAGGTGGTTATGAAACTCTGACGATTGCACAATGAATCTTAAACTTTACGTGATCAAATATTTCCAGCATAACTTAAGTGCAATGCAAATCTATTCATAAGCAAAAATTTAAATCTATGGAGAATTTTGTGTCAGTTTGCAACAGAATCAGCCGTTTAAAACTCCAATGAGATACTATTTCTGTTTCTTTAAACTGAAGTTGACCGGAAAACTAAGGCCTAAAAATAGGAAATTTTATGCCTTACTGAAGGTGTAATATTAATCAGATCTAGATGACAGTTCACTCTAATTCAAGTGTCCGAATTAAGAGAGCCTGGTTTTGAAACCACAATCAATGGGTAACATTTAATAAATGGGGTATGGCAACTTGAACCAATGCACGTATGTACAGGTTCTACGTTTTGACGGAAGTCACGAGGCCGATGCCTTTTCTGAAAACCAGAGCAACAATTTTTGTAGGCACATGGAACGTCCGGAAAAGGTGGGAGACCGGGAGGACCAGTCATATGATAACGGAAATAAGGAGATACAAATTGACAGCATTCGGAATCAACGAAACCCATTGGGCCCAAGCTGGATAGCAAAGGCTAGATATGGGAGTGATGCTACTGTACTGCGGTCACGAAGAGGAAAATGCTCTGATGCTGTTCAAAGAAGCACGAAACGCACTTACTAAATGGGAATCTCACGGATCCAGAATCACCAAACCATCCTTCAAAGAAAAGAAGACGGACATCACAATGAATGTCATCCAATGTTGTGCACCCACCAATGATAGCAACGACGACAATAAAGATCAGTTTTACGAGAGGCTGCAATCAATCATAGCGAAGTGCCTAAGAAAGGACCTCACCATTCTGATAGGAGATCTAGACGCCAAACTCGGAATAGACAGCACCGGGTATGAAGATATCATGAGACGACATGGACTGGGAGAAAGAAACGAAAATGGGGAGAGATTTGCGAATTGATGTGCACTCAACAAATTGGTTACAGGCGGCACAATATTCTCACGTCAACGGTCTAACCGGACCACGCCACGGTGAACCCAGAAATCCTATTACAAGCAAACCAAACAATTCGCTAATATACGAAGCCTACTCAAAACCCTATAATAACTGGGCGAAAAATATTTTAAAAAACGAAAGGAGCTCTAACAGTTTCGATAATAAAAGGAAGACAGCCAATTGTATATCACAATACTGTTTCTAGCACTATATTTTATTTTATAATCACACATAACCTTATACTCTCAGCTCATTTCCGAATCGCCCCCATTTGTCAGTTGTATGTCCACTCACACCTTGTTAACACTTATTTTCTTTAACCTAGTAAAATGCTCTTTCTTAACATATACCTTAATAAAGGAAAATTAGACTGAGTAATCATACCTTAGACATTCCTTCATGAATATTGGCTACTCTGCCTCTCGTGTTTTCTTTTACTTGCTCTCTCTTTCAGCCCCCTTGAGATATGGAACTGGTGACTTCATCCTGCACTATCCTTAGAGCCTTGGATATCCCAAAGGGACATAAGGTTGCAATTTCTAAAAGCTCATGCCTTCAATGGACCAATCCTTGACCATCAGTCGCACATTTGCAAAGCAACTTTCATGAAGCGCGCCAACTGTGGTACTGATTAAAACCATCTACATTCATATCTTATAAATTATCAACCCAGCTATGTAATTTACTACAGTGTATATTGTATCATTCGTATCAATTTGATCTTGCCTGCAAACTGGCATGCCTCATGTAACAAACTGTTATTTGAGAATAAATTATTATTATTATTTGCATCAGTAAAAATCCACAAGGACAATGGAAGATGTGAGAACCAGAAAAGGAGCTGACGTAGATTCAGATCACCAACTGGTGGTGGCAAAGATTAGACTGAAGCTAAAGAAGCACTGTATAACTGGTGGAACAGCATTACAAAGGTTCAATACAGTCTTCCTTCGAGATACTGAAAAACTCAACATATTCGATCTAGCTCTCAACAACAGATTCCAGGCCTTACAGAATCTACTGAAGGAAGAAAGTACTATGGAGGACAAGTAGAAAATTATCAAAGAAGCATTAACTTCAACATGTCAAGAGGTTTTGGGCCGCAAGAATCGTCATCATAAGGAATGGATCTCTATCGAAACCCTGAACAGGATTGAAGAAAGGAAGAACAAGAAGACAGCAATTAACAACAGCCGAACACGAGCAGAGAATGTCAAAGCGCAAGCTGAGTACACAGAAGCAAACAAGTAAGTGAAAGTGAGCATTAGAGCCGACAAACAGAAATACGTGGAAGACCTAGCAGCGACAGCAGGAAAAGCTTCAACAGAAGGAAAAATGAGACGACTGTATGACGCAACGAAGAAACTGGTAGGGATAATTAATAAACTAGAGAAACCGATCAAGGACAAACAAGGCGACAAAATCACCGAAATTCCAGAACAGAGGACCAGACGGGTTGAATACATCGAAGAACTGTTGAATAGACCGGCTCCATTGAATCCACCGGACATTGAAGCAGCGCACATAGACTTTCCTATAGCTGTCACTCCATCAACGATCGAATAAATCAGGATGGCCGTCAGACAAATCGAGATTGAGAAGGTAACGGGACCTGACAATATACCAGCTTAAGCACTGAAGTCAGACATCGAAGTATCAACAAGCATTCGTCACCTTCTACTCAAGAAGATTTGAAAGGAAGAACAAGTGCCGATGGACTGGGAAGAAGGACACTTCATCAAGATTCCAAAGAAAGGAGATCTGAGCAAATGTGAAAACTACAGAGGCATCACACTACTGTCAGTACCAGTAAATGTTTTCAACATGGTGTTGATGAACCGGATGAAAGACTCAATAGGCTTGAATCCGTAAGAATCGTTCGTGCACAGACCAAATAGCGACACTACGGATCATCGTTGAACAATTAGTTTATTAGAAACCGACACTATCCATCAGCTTCCTTAACTATGGGAAGGCGTTTGATGGAAGAACCTTATTGCAAATTCCTCGACACTATGCGGTGAAAAGCTGAAGAAATAAACAACATAATCGAGAATTCATATCATGAACCACACTTCAAGGTCGTGCGTTGAGGACAGGTGACAATTGCATTCCAAGTGAGGACCGCAGACAAATGAAGCTCCATACTCTCCCCATTCCTCTTTCTTCTGGTAGTTGATTGGGTGATGAAGACGTCGACTTCTGAGGGGAAGCAGCAGCCTCTGCACCAGTAGGCCTCAACATAAACAAGGGAGTAAGAAATATCTTCAAATTCAACACAGAGAACACCAAGAACGTTATAACTGATTGACAATCTCTGGCGAGTTTCAATTTTTCACGTATCTTTGCTGCATCATCGATGAATATGGAGTATCCAATGGAGATGTGAAGGCAAGGACTGGCAAAGCAACGTCCACATTCATACTGTCGAACGGCATATGCAACTCAAATCAACTACCAACCAATACCAAATAGAGGATTTTGAATACCAATGTCAAGACGGTTCTACTGTGTGAATCTTAAAGTTGTAGAAGTACCACAGCAATTATCAAGAAAGTACAAGTATTTAAAAATAGTTGTCTACGCAAGGCACCCAATATCCGTTTGCCGGATACCACCAGCAACAGTCTACTATGAGAAAAAACAAACCAGCTTTCAGCTGAGGAAGAAATTAGGGAAAGATGCTGGAAGTGGATAAGACAGATATTGGGAAAATCATCAAACTGCATCACAAAGCAAACCGTAACTGAAAATTTTGGAGGTAAAGGGAAAAATTGGAAGACCGATGATCACCCTATTTTGAATATTGGAAGCATACATGAAGAGGAAGAATGGAAACTGGAAATAAATGGAAAGAATCGCTAAGAAAATAGTTGTTTGGAGTGTGATGGTTGGCGGCCTTTGCTCTTCTACGAAGGTAACAGGTGTATGTTAATAACTTAGTAACGTATAAATTAACCACATCAACTGATATTTGAATATTTTTTGCAATTAATTAGGAATTTCATAGTATCACTTCTATCTATTACGGCACGGTTGATGCAGAATAGCATGAATTCATTATATTTGACGGTTTTTCAAACATCTGCTCACAACCGTATCTGTATTCAGAGGTTACATGGAGGAAGGATATAGTGTGAAACAATTGATATAGATTTGTAGTGACTCACTTTTAACACGAGAACACGATTGGTTTATTGAGAACAATTATTATTATAACCAATTGTACCAGTAACAGTTTTAATGTGCTTTTGCTTAAGTGTGCTAAAAAGCATCCATTATTCTTACACTTTGATTGTGACTTCGCGCGAATTCGGTTACGTTCTGTAACCAAGCTTGTATCCTGACACGATCTCGGCATCCTTTCGATACCACGAGATCGCCAGCAAATACATCTCGACTTGGTTCATTAACTGCCTTCTGATATTTGGCTTCCGGTGGATTTTATGGATTCGTTTGGAACGAATTTCTTGGTAGCGGTGTTCATAGTTAATCTCCACTCGACACCACGCTACAGATTAACGAAAAACATTGGAATGACAAAGGTTATCAATAATAACTATATATAGGAACAGGTAAGTGGTCATTTGATGTTTAAATCCAAAAAATAAGGGGTGTGTGGTGCAATTGTTAAGCAAGGCTTAGAGACAGATAAGATGAATTATGTGATAATTTCAGAATCTATGAAGGGTTTACATAAGATTCTTAGAATTTGAAGGGTATATACAAGTTAAGAGGATTAAATAGAGATGTACGAGTAAAGGGGTTGT